CACCCAGTCAAAAAAGGTTCGAGCTGTACTTCATGCAATAGAGCTGAATGGCTCTCCCCACCGGTGTAGTCCAGACATTGCTCTTTCTGACTGCTAGTCGCCTCCCGTATTCAACCGTTATACAGCCGAGAAAACCTCCACGACTTGAGCCCAAGTCAAAGTTGAGATGATGTCCAACTTTGCGTCGCGCCGGCGTGCATTGTTAAGCGATGGCATCCACGAACTGTCCAAAAACTGGCAAGGATCTCTCAATAACATTGCTGTATAATTTTGATCTTGTACGCCTCTCTGTAAAAAGAAAGTCTAATTTGAAAAAATGTGACAGAACTTTCCCGCCAACCTAATACAAGCAGGTCATATTCGCCACTACGACTCTGACCAGAGATAGTATGCACGGCTCATTCCAAGGAAAGCTATATCTGTACCTCGAAGCAAACTCTACGCTTTTGCCCTATAACCACACGAACAGGTCCTCAACCTGCACGAGACTCACGCAGACCCACTTCACTCCTTGGTCCAAAAACTCGTGGTACAACGCTAGTTATCGGTTTGGATCCAGCTGCAGCATGAGAACCAGAAGTTGCAACTCACGATGGAACTTGTACAGAGCGGCTTATGCGTCCATTTATCACCCTTGCAAACGAAAGTGCATGCGAGCGAACGCAGATCACAGTGTAGCCACGACAGAATATTTCTTTGAGGCACTGGCTGCTCTATATTGTTCCCCACCACAACGGGTTGCATTTCCTCTTTTCATGGTACTCATTCCGTCCATCCCATTTCACTGAGGAGCCTCCTGGGATGGATGGAACAAGGTGGTTCGTCTGAGCAGAGGCGAAACGGAGCACTGAATCCTTTTTATCAAATTTCATAACTCATCTTTATTTCCTTCCTACCTTTTTACTTGTTCACTATTTCCTTCCTACCTTTTTATTTGTTCTTATTTCCTTCCTACCTTTTTACTTGTTCACCAATGAGGTCATCCGGAGCTCGTAACAATGGGTGAAAAAGGCTACCCTACCTTTTGTCCAATTCACGCCGTTCCCTTTGCCCCGCAGTCCCCTTTGTAAGGATAATGGTTGTAAGTGGGTATGCATTCCTCCACACCCCAACGGAGGAAGGCGACAGAGGTTTTATTTTGCGCATTCTCATTCCGCTTCACCCCATTTCCGCTTCATCTTGGCTGCTCCGCAAACTTCTAGTTTCGGTCGGAAACCAAGTTATCGTGCCTTTTGATTCTTGAATACGAAATAGGGAAAACAACGGATTCTTGCCTGATGAAGTATGATCATCCCTCTCTCCCTGATTGTAATTATTCTTCAGAAGTATTGAACGAACGCTAATAACTACACTCAAAACATACCGGCAATGGTGATGCATAGGACATAGAAGTATTCAGCTGCGTGCTCTCGCTTCGTAATCTCCTCGTCGTCGGTGCTGTTGTCCTCTTTATCGGACCAACCCGTGGAGGCGTCTGCTAAAGCAGAAATCGGGCTTGAGAACAAGTTCACTGGCCGTCTTACCGCCAACGCTACCTCAGCCTTGGCTCTCAATTCTTGCTGGCTTAAATGCGTTGCGGACAAGGGCTTGAAAATCATGCCCTCCAGACTGCTTTAACAGAAATTGTTTCACACGCAGTCGACGGTCTCGAAGCTTCAGGGGGCAACTGCTTAGGCGGAAGACGATGCCAGCGGCATTGCACCCTGCGTCACAGGCATCAATGACACTTCCTGAGGTGCTGTTCCATGCCTAATCAAATTGAAAGAGTAAGGCTGGTTGTTCAAAATGGTCCACAAGGATGAGATGAAGGATATTCGCTTTGCCATCTTGTACTCCCTTCTGCTAGAGGGACTGTCACTGAGAATATCCCAGTGCCATCAAAGAAGTATGAATCCGGCAACTCATCAATCGCTGGTGCGACGTCGCAGACCGCGCACACCAGCGCCGATTTCCCTGCTAGACATCCCCCTCCCGACTTCCAAACGGGCCCATTAACACACACTTGGCTGGCTCTATTGAAGATGAGCTGCAGCTATCACACGCTGATTTATTTTTAGTTGCAATATGTCGTTTTTGAGATAAGTGAGTGCATGTAAAATAGTTCACCTCATACTCTTCTTCAACGTTCATACGATTCCTTAGGCGATAACTTGTAGAAGGAGCAGGAATGCGAGAGCTGTAGTAGATTAACGTGGATTGTTTTTCCATTATGGCCCCATAAACGTATATAAATCTTACTGCAGGGTCTGGGAGCGTGATCTTGGGAGTGATCGAGTGGACTCTTCTTCATGTAAGCAGCTTCCATCGCACACGTCCTGGAAGTAGATCCCTTTATGTACTGCAGGTAGCCTCCAAATGGTACAAAATGTATATTTTTTTGGACTCTATTGATTACTTCTGAACCTTCTGGCTTACAATACCTTTTTGGCTCTAATTCATTTGAGGTTCTACAGGGGATAATAATTTTAATTATGTACTTTTCTACCAGAATACGCTGCATGACCCCCATATAGTGGACTCGAATATCGGGCATGATCGGTAATGAGGACGTGTCTGTCGGACTCATAAGTGAGTGAGACAGCGGCCACGTATTCAAGGGCGATTGATAATTGGAACATAGAGAAATGAGAAGCCTCAGCAGAGGGATGAAAGCGCATCGGCATTCCTTCGTGCCCACTACGCCCCACCGTGCACGTGCTGCCTGCGTCCTCCCTGAGTTGTTTGGTGGCTGTCTAGCGCATCTACGCTTTTAAGTGGGGAGCGTTGCCGCGTTTTAGCGTCCCAGTCGCGGCATCGCAGTACGCTTGACTTGGCCAATAGGTTCGACTCGCAGCACCAGCGCCCTGCCTAGATGGCGTAGGTGCTGCGCGTCGGGTCTGCTGCGATGATGGAATGCTGGAAGAACTGGAATAAGATCCTGACACTTTCACCCTCCAACCTCAGCTCCAGGACCATCTCCAGAAAGATGATCTCATGTCCGTATATGGCGCAGCATGGACTTTGCGCGACTTCTTTGTGCGAGGTGAGCAGCATGGTCCTGTTACGAGACCCTGCACCTCCGACAGATAGAGGACAGTGCCTGCTAAGGCATCGAGATGTGCAAGAAACTATGGCGATCCAGGAAACGAGCTTTTCCAAGTGAGTTTTCCAAGGAGGGGATTCCAGGGTGGGTGGGTCATTTATCATACGTGAAAAGCTGGGCTGGAATGTGCGAAGCCACAATGATCACAGAGTGCCACGCGGACGAGAGAGAGCAGAGAAAAACACAACGCGTTCAAAGGAATTGAGTTCAAGTTGTCCGTAGACCGCCGTGTGGATTTTTACGGTAGGGAGGCAAATGGCGTGTCATTATCGGTTGGCCACGCCTCATTCGGGTTGCGATCGCTGCTGCTCTATGGTCTCTCAGAGAGGTAGTATTTGACAGGTTTTGATGAGACAAGTAATGTACCTCCCGAACTGATCTGAGTGTGAAGATAACAGCGGCAAATTACAACGAAGATAAGCTGCAGCAGTTATAGACCTCCATCACCGCAAAGAGCATTGGCATCCAGTAATCACAAGCCTCTGCTATCGTGGCCATGCACAAACAACTGCCGGAAATCACACTGTGTGTGGGTACCACTGCCCACTTTTTGAAGGGAAGCGCTCCTATCTTCCAAGGAAAATAGTGAATGGTGTCTTCAACTCCTGCAGACAGCTTCCCTGTATAACCAGACTTAGTTTGTGCTCCTGCTCCTGCCAAGAACACGAGAACGCAGCTTCACCTCACCCTCAGAGCAATTCTTAACCATTACCTGACGCATAGAACTGTCCAGGGACTGCTGACGATTGACACCTGCTGCCATTCGTGAATCCTCCGTCGGTCGTGGATGCTAAAACAGTTACGTATTTCACTGTTTCACAAATCAAATGCTAAACCAAACTCCCAAGAATTTGAAAGCACATTCTATGCTGGACATGTGGGCACGGCCTGGCCTTTAATGAATGGAACATACCATAGGCGATGGACGAAGTTTTGGTGATGGTGACCGCAAACGACGTTTCCCTTCTTCGCTTGCCGGAGAACTGAACCTCACCCTCAGCTGAAGCGAAAATGTTACTCGCAGTTGTTTTAGTATGAAGTCCTCTTAGGCTATCATGGAGTGAAAGGCTGTGCTGCAGGGAAATCTGCTTGTCTGATTTGCAGTACTTTGGACCATCCTTTCCAGAAATCAAAGGATAAAGTCTTCGCCGTTGATCAATTCCTCTTGGGTGCGGCACGCATACCACTTCCAATCGTAATGATTTATTGAATGCCTGACAATACAATGACTTGGGGGGGGAGGGAGGTCAGTCGATGTACAAGTCAGTGTTGTTACAATCCCAGACGGATTTGCTACCAAGTTACCGTACCCGTCGAAAGGAATCCTTTGTAGGTCAGGGTAGACCCGGGATTTGAATTCAGGACCGCGCGAGAGGTAAGCGCGCCACTTGACACTACACCAGACTCACGTTGTTACAATCGACAGAGTAGATGACTGGATTGTTCACCCTTTTCACTACACCACCTCCGTCTCTTCTAGAACTCATGGCAAGAAAAACTCTTACGAACCGTTGATTAACCACTAGTTACCACATATTATTGTATTTATGTTCGTCTTGTTCCTCTCATGGCCCATCGAGATGTCCCCATAGAACATACTGTAGGCCAAAGTGCAACACACTCATAACCGTTCAAGTCTGGCATATAACTACAGTTACAATCGACAGAATAGATGACTGGATTGTTCACCACAAAACGCTCTGTACTCTGCTGGCAATACTTGAGCTTAATGAGATGCTAGGCGGTAAGAGGTTTGGTAAAAAGGCAAAAGAGGCTCGCATCACAGTGAAATGGACCAACGGTGACAAGATGAAACTCACCGTCTTTTTCCGAC